TTATTCTGTATTCTTCCAGGTTTTGCAAAGATCTCCCAAAGGGGTTGTCTCTGTTCTCTACAGCCTGCTGTAACTCATCAGGTAGTGACTCTGAAGAGGGTCATATACAGTACAGACGCTCATCGGGCTAAGTGAATAGATGAGCATTGATTCAGGGATGAATAGTTAAGCAAAACAGATCAGAATACTTGGTTGCACAACAATTGAAGCTCAACAGAGCAACACCACCCAGTCACAATTAGCCAGGCTAATTTTATTTCATTCCTTACCTGGAGGAGGCCGGCCATCGTTTATATTGAAGGCTGTAGCAAATATGCCAAATGGAAACGCTCCAATTCCAAATGACATTTGGAAGCCTCCATCTCCAAACCCAAAACCCTGGAAACCCTACAAACAAACAAACAATCATCATGTATGTATGTCTTAGTTTACAAACTAAAATCTGACTGGTTGCAGCCTCTTTCAGGAGATTAGACGGACTTCCAAGTGGGCACTGTGAGAACATGATGAGCTGAAAGTAGCATCCCAGACCAACCTGGCACCATTTCCCTTCCAACAACACCAGAGTGTGTTCGACAAACATTTGATTAAATTTTATTTCATTAAATGGGTCCGTCTGAAAAAGTGCTGCAGGCTCCTGATGCTTGAGCTACAGATCATGAAAGTTTATGCCTTTAACAGATTTTCTAAGCTGTGAAAGGCGCTACCAGAGCCCTGATTTTCAGGGCTTTGTTGAGTGTATTCTCGGGCGATTGTTTTAGGTGCAAGAGTTTGTTTTTGGTGCAAACGTGTTTCCATTTTAAATTTAACAAGTTGATAGCATGCTAGCTCCCCCAAGACTTTAAGAGAGAAGCACGATGGTCTTTCCTGGTCAGAGGACAGACTGCCTGAGCAACCTGAGCTTATTCCCATAGCAAAAGGAGGACCGGAGATCACCTCCAGGCTGGGCAAGGCAGCCTCTGCACTTTGCCAGGGGAGCTTCAGGCACAAGCCATGCCAAAAAGGTGCCCTCCACCTTCAGCCACCTGATTCAACAAGGCTTCGGCTCTCTGGGGAGTAGAAGAACAAAGTGCTTCTTAATCACCCCCAGAAGAGCTGCTTGTTTGATGAAAAGAAAGCCGAGAGCAGCCTCTGGAGGCTCCATCTGACTTGCACAGAAAGTGGCAACTCTTTCGTCAGGCCAGGCCTGCTCCCCAACTCGCGGCTACGAAAGGTTGAAGTGGCCCATTTTCTCCAGAGCCTGCTATTTATAAAATCAGCATCCACAATCTCTTTGGATACAACTTGCTGCACCTCACGTAATGCAGGCTAACTTGATGCCCACTATATTTTAAAGCTGGGTTTCCAACCTTGGCAACTTTAAAAGCTGTGGGCTTCAACTCCCAGAATTCTGAATTTGCTGTCTAAAAGTCGCTGGCTATATCGGAGGTGGCCAACCTTAGCAACTTTAAGACTACTTTAACTTTAACTTCAACTTTAATTCAACTCCCAGAATTGCTTTGCTGGCTGGGGAATTCTAGGAGTTGGAGTCCATAAGCCTTAAGGTTGCCAAGATTGGACACTCCTGTTTTAGGGGTAGTCACACTGCAGGTGGAAGTTGGCAAAATCTACACCGGACTATTATTTCTATCAGCAATTTAACTCTCTCTACACCAGGGGTGTCAAACTTGGCAGCCTGCAGCTCAGATGGATCATGCACTGGCCACAGCCATGCCCGGTTTAGCAAAGTTGTGATACGTCACTTGACGATGCGAGTTTGACACCCCTGCTTTACACAAATGGTCATGCAATATTTAATTTGGCTTACAAAGGCCTGAAGTAGACAAGCCTGAAAGGTCTCCCATCCACCACTGGTCTATCCTGGCTGCATTTTCACTCTGCGCTTCTGAGAGGCACAAGCACATATTCTCCGTACTCACCCCTCGGTTTTCTGGCTCAGGTCTCTGGCCTTGAGGTCGAGGTGGCGTTTTCTCCCTGCAAGACACAATCCATTATGGGGTTTAATGAGGATATTTAGCAGTTGGCTAGAAGCCCCAATGGGGGAGGATCACACTGGAGGTGGTTGGTCGACTAATAGCAGATCCCACCTCTCCCCTGTATGTTCTCTGAGAGAGAGAGAGAGAGAGAGAGAGAGAGAGAGAGAGGAGAGAGAGAGAGAGAACACTTCATTTTGATGTTGCAAGCTGCCCAGAATCTCATTGTAGCGAGATGGGCGGCAAATAAATTTAATTAATAAATACTGCTGAGGCCCAGAGCCTCTCTCCCCCACCCTCTGGGCCCCAGCCCCTCCTTTTCATCTTAAGAGCTACCCTGCTGCAGCATTTCCACCCCTGTGTTGAGATAGCATCAGTCAATGCGCAGAGAAGATCTCCATCCCAAATGTCACCTGTCTTCTTGGTTTTAGTTTCTTATTTTATCTTAATTTCAATTGTTTTGTATTCTTTACCTTTTTATCATTTCATAAGCCACCCAGAGTCGCTCTGCAACAGTGAGGACACAGATAAACCTCCAAGTGGCTTCAACGACTCTCTAAAAAGAACGCAAATGACCAGCTGTCTGCAAGGAGTACAAATCCTTCCATTCCCCACCATCCAGTCAGAGCTGAAGAAGCTTCTTGCATGAGAAGCGAAATGTCTTTAAAGAAAAACTAAGAAAGTCCAGCTGCCTCTTGAAAAAGCGCTTTTGGACATGCAAGAGAGCTGCCTGGCTGGCTGGCTGCCACAGGGAGACCCAGGGGCAGGGCGGACACCCACAACCTGAAAATGGCCTTATTGGAGGTGCGCAGAAACCTAGCAAGGTTCACTCCAGGGATGCAGAAGCAACTTCCAAGCCTATTGGAGCCCCCTCCAGGAGCCCCCTCCATGTTTCAGCAGACCCTGGTCATAGAACCCCACACAGGCTGGTATGAGCCGTGGCTAGCAAACAGCCATTCAAGAAAACGCCTCTACCGTTACTAATTGTCTTCTGAAAGAATCCTGATGAACTCCCCAAAAAGGCAAAATCCTCCTAGATATCGTTTTGTTTTTGTTTTTTAATTAGTATTTCTAAGTTCCAAAGAAGGCTTCCACTGTTCAGTAATGCAGCTGCCTAGGGCAGACTTGCAGACTATGATCTGTGAAGCTTAAATCTGTCCATCCTTAAGAGTCTTTCTTGTCTCTCCTACTAAGGTAGGGAGAGGATGGGAGGAGAAATCCCCAGACTTGAGCTTTGACAATCTTTGCTTGTTGATTCTTGGCCTGTGAGCCTTCTGGGTTGACACATCCAAATGTGGAACACTGTCTTTCCCATCTCCAGCCGCATCATGTGAAGCTACACCGCACCCCACCCAGAATGATGCGGCCAGAGACGAGCAGCCCATGCAGCAACCTATTACCAGTAACAAACATTGGAACGGTGAGATTCTTACAGGTCAGAAAAGGTTGCTGAAACCTGAAGACTAAATCTGAGTCAAGAGTAGCCAGACAGGTTTTCCCTCCATGAATTCCCCTCGAGTAGACCTTGAAAGCAAAAGGCTGTTCCCAGCGGAGGCCGTCTTACCTGGGGTCCTGTTGTCCAGTGCTGCCCCTTCCATAAAGTGGTATGACTTTATCACGGCTGATTCCTGCTTTACATACAGGACACACCTGTCTGTTTGGCCTGGTCTCCAGCCACTGAAAGGCAGAAAAGAGGAACGGCATCTTGGTAAAAACCTGGACAGAAGAATGCCCCGATCTCCCAGGCCCCGGGGAAGGGAGCCTTTGCAACACTGGGGTGGTTGCTAGTTGTGTGGCTTGTCTCGACACCTGAATTCTTCTTTCTGATTTTTCTATTTTAAGCATAATCACTTAGGAGCCACCCAGAATCGTTTTTAAATTGAGGATCTCCTAAATCTACTAATAAAAACACGGAGTGCTGCAAAGATGCTACATGTTGGCTTTACAGGTATTCCTTGTTTAGTGAGCACAATTAGGACTGGCAACGTGGTCCCTAAGCAAAGTGGTCATTAAGTGAAAAAAAAGGTGACTGACAATTTTACTTCAGGTTTCCTCTGCTTTACAGCATCAGGACACCATCTCAAAAGCTGGCTGAGCCCAAACAGCTGAGAAAAGGGGAAATCTTACGGCCCCTTTTTCTCACTCCCCAACCCTTTGGAAGGCTCATCCCAATGCTGGGATAAGTAGCAAGAAGAGAACAGATATTTGTATTTACATTCATTGGAGAGAAAGGGATTACAAGAGACTAAGCCAGCGCACAATAGGAATGGAACACATGGAAAGGAATGCACTGGAGGCAGACAAAAGCCTTTAGTGTGTGAAACTGACTAGGGTCTTGATCATTTTAGGCTGCAGCTGCCAGGCCCATTCTAATCAAGGTCACAGAGCTGAGCCTGTTAACTTGCTGCACTGCAGACAAAAACAGCGGCTTAGGAAGAGAGAGAGTTTCTTTAGGCAATCTCTCAGGGTTGGGGGAAAGAAAAAAAATGGGCCAGGCACAGGACAATAGGTACCATCTGACTGTAATGGTGAACAGGGACTGAGAGATGCTGCAGAGATAATAAACGTGGGCTTTGGTCACAAAGTTACTTTTACATTGTAAGTGAATGGTCACTATCCGAGGCAGTCATTTGATGAGGACTACCGGTACTTTTTGCAGGGCCCAAAGTGTTCAGCTGTTTCCCCTCCCACAGAACTCCCAACACTATAAAATAATCCTGGTCTGGACAGGGGCTTGGTACTTCCATCATTTTACCCTGTTGCGATTATGGAGAGGAGGAAAGCAACCAGGCCTTTCACCCATTCAGTGGGAGATGGGTCAGCCCCTTTTCAGACATTACAAACTAAATATCAACAGACACCAACAGGCCCAGCCCAGGAACGACCTAGGACAACCCAGCCAAAGTTCAGGTTCTTTATTTGTTCAAACCAAATAGACAGAATCTTGCCAGACTAAACTTTTGCTCCTCTCACCCGAACGAATGTATCCTGGGAGATTCCTAGGAGCAGCTATTCTGACTTTTCCTCTATCTCCTACCCATCTCTTTTCTCCCCTATCTCCTTGAAATGTGCTCCCTCCTTCCTTCCCTTCGGTAGGCACAATCCACCACAATATCTCACCTTTCTAATCTGAAAGTTCACACAAGATCCTTACGTGAGAGCATCAAAATCTCACTAAAGATCCAATGTCTTTTAAAACATTCTGTTATCTGCTGCTGCGGGGTTAGGAAATGTGATTTAAGCCCACCATAAATTCAAAAAGGGCTCTCCTAAAACCATCTAATCTGCCATCTGAGGTATCAATCAAACAGAATGACAGAAAAGGACAGCCAGAATATACCCTGGATGCTCATTGTTACTAAACAGTGGCATCTCATTGCCGCTCATCCCTCTTTTCATAAAAGCCCCCAAACAGTAAATTGCCAACAATTGCATGGTTAATGCTAATTACAAAACGGAGTTGCCTTGGGGAGAACGCACAATCCATCTACAAATGGAAAGGCATATTGCACCTTCCCAGAGTCCCTTGGGAAACCAAGAAGGTGGATTGGGTAACCAAAGCTGATGAAAGACAAAGCAAAGCAGAACCAGCCTTACCTGGTGTAAACAGGGCCAACTGCAGGGATTCCCAGAGTGATTTGTTCATAAAGTAGAATGTCCGCAGAGGTGGCAGTGGGGAGAAAGACCAACACGCACACAGGTTAGACGTGGACAATCAGAAACCTGAAACCCAGCTCTGCAAATTCGACTCTCGGATAACACAATCGCAGTATTTTAAAAGGCAGCAGCAAAAACAGGATTTTCCTGCTTTTTTTAATAGCTGGTCTTCCCACTTTTACAAACCAGCACAGAGATTTCTTGAACTAAGGGACTCTAAAGTGGAACTTCCCTTACTAAGAAAACATGAATTGAATTCCGCATAATTGAATTCTGAATTACCAGAATTCTGCAGAATAAGGAAAAGAACATCCCACCCCCCAAGAAATGCAGTGTGATACACAGCCTGAATGACAACATGACACAGAAAAAGAGGACAGGACTTCTTGCTTTGCCAAGTCTCAGAAGAGAGGTGGTCTCAAATCTCAGATCATCAGCTGGGCAGATTCTTGGATGCATTCTTACATTACCCACAGCTGTTGCACTAGTGTCACTAAGATATTTCCACCCCTGTTAACTGCAGTTACTACTTCTGGGAGCCCAGGATTACTTAAGATTGGATGTTTTTTATACTTATGTGAAATGTTATACTCTGGCAGAACCTGTATATATTTAAAATGCCCTCCAGGGACTCCTGTTTTGCAACCCAGAGTTTGGCTCATTGTCTTCTCCACACTTTCATAACTATGGCTGAAGCTCATGGCCATTATACCGAGAGAAAACCAGAAAGTCTAGATCATGTGGCTGGATTTGGAGCACGGACACAAAACAAGATGGTTCATTCTGTCTGCTTTAAATTCAAGAAAAGGCAAGAGACAAATTTAAACTGAAATATTAATTCAGAGTGAATAAATACAATCACGATTGTAGGGATGCTGTTAAAAGCTTCTTGGCTGCAAACTAAGCAACATCTGAAATGCAGGTTCCCAACAAAGCTATTTGTGAGGATGCGACAAAAGAGAAATGCCAAGAATGAGACAGGCAGCATCTAAATGTGATAAATAAAAATAAATAATGCAGGAAGCCCCCTTTTTCTAATTTCAGCTACTGGCTTACCACTTACCACTACTGTCAATGCTGCTCCAATTTCATAGTTAATTTACTCACAGTTTAAACTTAGCTGCATGAATAGTCATTAGCTGTGCTTACACCTAAGTATACAAACCATGTGTAACAACAGCTAGATTTGCACAATATGCTGAGTCAAACCCAATCAAGCCACGTTATGCTTTGGCATAGTGTGCAAATCAAGGCACTAATTAAAGCAGCCCATAGAATAGGAGCACAGGATGGCAGCTCACTGTTGAAACACAGACTTTGCAAGCAGAAAGCCACCGTTCACCAAGAGCCGGAAGAACTTGATTATGCTGAATGAGGTTGAGTTGAGGGGCTCCTAGAAGCAAAGTAGCATCTCTAGCCGTGGACAGGAAGGTTCATCACCTGCACATGTCTGTGCCTGCCCCACCTCTAAATCCTCACATTGCAGCCTAAGTTCTCTTTGCAACAACTGACATCCGGGCATCCAGCAGCAAAAGTTGCTGCTGAGCCGCGTTCAAGGGTTCTTGAACCAAGATGATTTCCTAAAAATTGGAACTCTGCAGCATCCAATCCCTAAAACAATTCCAGTTCCTAGTCCAATAGGTGGACTAGGATGGAGGCACAATTCCATTGGCCCTATGGACACCGAAAATGGGCTACATACAGCTGGGATTGGTCCCAGGAACCGTTTCTCTTCCCTTAGCCCATTCCTTTCACAGCTCCACCCCTTAATGCATTCTCAAGGATTGAACGGTGTCATCCAACCCTATGGGGGGCAAGTTGACTACTCCTTATAGCGCAGGGATGTCCAACCTTGCCCACTTTAAGGCTTGTGGACTTCAACTCCCAGAATTCCCCATGCTAGCTGTGGAATTCTAGGAGATGAAATCCACCAGTCTTAAAGTGGGCAAGGTTAGACAACCCTGATGTAGAATCAGTCACGAGTTTAGGCCTTCAGCTTTACCAATCTCACCTGCCTGGTAAGGATGATATGGGGAAAGAAGCAGCAAGTGGGAGGCAGAGCCTTTAAGAGCCCTGATTTTAAGTATTTGCCTGCTGAAAACTGAGAGTGATACTGACCAGAAGAGGTGGCCACACAGACTGATCACAGCATCCTTGGCAGTGTCCAAACAGATGTTGCATTCAAATGTGCTGTCCTGACCCGTACTGTCCCCGTTGCTGCTGTTCCCGCTGGTTCCACCCGCACTGGAACTTTCTGTAGAAGCTGAAGCTGCAGGTCCTTTGCTGGCCATTTTTGGCTTCCAGTTAGAAACTCTGTGGGAAACTGAATCCTGGCAGAGCAAATAATAATAATAATAATGAGTGTTAGAGCCAGAACTGAAGAACATCATCAAATGATTCAAAGTACAGATTTTATGCAAAGAAACAGTAGATTGTGTACTTGGCTTGTGAAAGAAGATTGCACAAACTGATTATAAGCAACAACATAACACGGTTGCCAAAATGATTTGCTGGAGCACCAGTAAAAATTATCATTTGCCAGTAATGAAAAAATGGTGGGAACTAGTAAGTTGAAAAAGTAGTCAAAAATGATCAGAATAAAATATGTGAGATTCTGAATTCAAACTGATAAAAAGCCTTGGCTCATAACACTCCAGAGTTAACTATGTTTGAGGAAAAAACATAATTGGACAATTGATGGGGCAATACCAGAGGAAAGTAGAATAGAAAATAAAGGACTGGAGAAGATCACAAAGTATTAAGATCTGAAAACAGAAACTGAAAGATTGTGGCACAAACCAGCTGTGGTGATTTCAATGATTATTGGCACACTGGGTACCATTCCAAAAACTCTCAGACGGCACTTAGAAAACCTGTGCATTAACAAAATTTCCATCTGTCAATAGCAAAAGGCCTCACTGCTTGGATCCACACATGTACTATGCCAATTCATTACGACATCTTAGATTCTTGGGAAGAACTTGATCTGTATAAAGACCAACATCAGCAAAAAGAACTGCAGCTGTCACTTCATCTTGTGAACAGACTATATAATAATATTATTATTATTATTAATGGACATGGCAGTAACTTGGAGGCAGCAGAATAGAGAACTGGAAAAAAAATCACAAAATCCAAAGGCCTGCAAACAGAAGAATGAATGTGGCAAAAGAAAAGTACCCAATAGTGGTAAGTGCAACCTTGGGTGCAATCCTAAAACATCTGGAGCATCACTTGAACGACATAAGCATTAACAAAACCACTGCTAGTCAATTGCAAAAGGAAGTTTTACTTGGGGCAGCTTACATCCTGTGAGGATACCACTAATACCATCAGAAAGCAATATTTGCCTATCCCAGCTCTCTGGGAGGACTCAATAGGTGAATAAAAATGCAAATCTAGCCTGAACATCTGACTGACCATGAAACCAACCATAATAATAATTCAAAAACCACCATTATTTTGCTAATTATGCCCACGAGGAGATGATACCCCAGAGGCTAGTTGTGCAATAAGAGCACTGATGACAGATCTTAAGAGTTTAGAACAGACAAGAGAAATCCTGACAGATTAAGAAACAATCAAGTCTTAATATGAGAATAAGAATCCCATGTATGCTTTTTATTCATGGTAATTTCTGCCACAACACTGAACACAGCTGTTTCTAAACACTTATTAAAGTTCATTGTGTGCATCAAGAATCTCTGCGTTACATGAATATATAATAATTAAAATTACATATCCACATGCTGCCCTTCCCAGAGAACCCAGCAGAGCTTGTCTGTGACGGAACAAAGCTGAAATATAGATTTAACAAGGTAGCATGACAAACAGATAAATTCTCTAAAATGTCTAGCATTCAATAAGATATGTACAAATCTTTAGAACAGAGGTTTCCAAACTTGGCAACTTTAAGATGTGTGGACTTCCCAGAATTCTCCAGCCAGCAACGTTTGGGGACCCCTGCTTTAGAGAAACTGTCTAGTAAATAACTTGTTAGGCAGAGAGACCAGTCAGCAGCTGAAAGAAGGAAAGAGCTCTTGGTCATCATCAGGGGCAGAAAGAGCTTAGGGGCAGCTCCTTGGATTGCTGGAGGAACAGCCCAAATTCTACCATTCAGAACAGTTCACACAGGAAGGAGCCAACTCCAGTTAAACTCTTGTTCTTCTTCTTCCATATCCATCATTGGATGTTGGCAATCCTGTTGGCGATCCTATTTTGATCAACAGCCTCACGGAAAAGTGCTGCTGAGTTTTGTCCAAACTGGTCCCTTAGATTTTGAAGCCCTGATGTTCTTCTTCTGCCTGGATCTTCCTTTGCCTTCCATTTTTCCCTGAAGGATGAAGTGAAGGATGCTGTATTTTCCCAGGTGTCGCATCACAGGTCCAAAATATTCTAACTTTCTCTTTTTAATGGTTTTGATGATTTTCTTTGGCTTTCCCCAGGCAGCTGATCACCTCCTCATTTCTGATTTTGTCAACCCAATATACATAACAGCCGTCTGTAAATCCAGTTCCCCCAAATCTGTCTCCTAACAGACTGGGAAAGCTGCAGTGGTTCTCCCTTCTGTATTCCCTGCTTGCCCTGAGGGTAGATAGGCTGAAACCCTGAGACGTCTACTACCTTCTAAACCAGGAGTGTCCAACCTTGGCAACTTTAAGACTTGTGGACTTCAACTCCCAGAATTCCTCAGCCAGCAAAATTCTGGGAGTTGAAGTCCACAAGTCTTAAAGTTGCCAAGGTTGGACACCCCTGTTCTAAACTGATCTGGATTTGACTCCCACTGGGAATGTCATGAAGCAAGCCTTCATTTCGAAGTGGTCTGGCCTGAAGGAGTTTCAGGATGCTAAACCTGAGCAGCCAGAACACAAGAGTTCTTGGCTCCAGGGATGGAACAGAATTGCAAGGGGGACTAGCTGTAGCTCAGAAAAGAAAATCTTTTTTGGACTTCCGGTTTGTCGGCTTCGCAAGCGGCAGGGATTTGCGATCCTGCACGATCCCTGCCGCGCTAGCCGCTTTGGTGCCTCCGATCCATGGATCTGGAGGCTAAGGCTGCCACGAAGAGGCAGCCGAAGATAGGAGGGATCCGGACAGGGGGTTGGAGTTTTCGCAGACCCCTTCCCCACCCGGCTTAACCCTCTTTTCTCAAGGCGGTGGAGCGGCGGTCAGCAATGGCCGCCACAAAGAAGCTGACAGCTGGACAAGATCGTGCTGGAGGAAGAAGGAGAAAGTTTTGAAGCGAAAGTGTTTTGGCTGAACTGGGACTATAAGATACAAGTAATATCCTGAAAATCCTGATTTTTTTGAAAGATACTTTGTTTCCAGAAGAGATTTACAAGCGGCGAGTGAAAGTGTTTAAAGAGAAAGTTTACTCTCCTTCCACATGGATTTAACAAATGGATATTGAAAATCCTGCTATTTTACAGAAGGTAAAAATTTAAAGCTTTCTGTTATAAGTGGGAATGGAGAGGACAAAAGGAAAATTTCTATTAAGATTTTGTTGGAGGAGATGCCTGGAAGATTTTGAGATTGGAAGTTAATTGTAATAAGACTTTAAAATACAGGTTGGGTTTTTTTTTTCCCTTGCCACTTGATATTACCCCAGGAAGAAAAAGGGTGAAGAACTTTGTGCTCTGTTTGGATTGTTTGATGACTTTGGGATTTTGGGGAATTGTTTCAAGCTTTGAATTATCTTGGTTGTTTTAAGAAGAAGAAGAAGAGAAAAAAGAAGAAGAAAAGGTTTATAATGGCTTTATCTGTTGATGAACTGAGAGAGGAATATGGTAAAATAAAAAAAGGTAAAGACGGTGTGAGAGAATTTTTTTGCTTTTTAGAAATGGCGCTTGCCACTTATCAACAAACACAACAATTAATGGATGATGATGATGATGATGATAATGAAGAAGAAGAAGAAGAAGAAGAAGAAGAAGAAGAAGAAGAAGAAGAAGCCATCTTTAACGAGTCTACAAAGTTGATTAAGAAAGGAAGGAAAAAGAGAGGAAGGAAAAAGGACATAAGACTTAAAAAAACATACAAGAAAGAGAAAAATAAGATGTAAAATCAATACAATGTTAGAAAGCAAAAGAAAAGAGAAATACAACAGAGAGGGGAAGCGAAGGGGGGCAAAAAGACCAGATGGGACAAGATAGGAAGGAAGAAGGGGGGAAAAAGCCACAAAGGTATAAAACAAGATGTGAAAAAGAAATCTTTTTTCAGGGATACTGGGTAATGCATAATTTTGTTTCAAAATATTTCTGCAAGGTACATAAGATAGTATTGTAGTATTTGTATTAGAAATAGAAAATTAGAATTTTATAAGACTTAAGTAAAGATTAAAACATTAAAGGTTTAATAATGATAGATTTTAAGATTTAATAAAATATTAAAAGGAATGTTTAAAATATTTAGTTTAAGTATAGAGTTTAATTGACTATTGTGTGGATGTTTGTATGAACTTATTATTATGGTATTTGTTTTTGCAATAGATAATTGCAATGTTATGAGATTTAATGTTTAATTATATATTTAATTACTTTATGGATTTACTATTTTAGTAAGTAGAATGTACTAAGCAGAATTAGATGGGGAATTAGGTGTTACCTTAAATGTAACATACTTCGATTAGTGATTTCAGGAGAAATCTTTTTTTTTTCTAATATGAATGAGATAAATGGATAATTGGAAAAGAATGGACAAAAGATACAAATATAATGATTTAAATTAAGATGAAATAAATAAAATAGAATTAAGAAGAGTGGAAAGCGGGGAGAAGTTATAATGAAGATATAGAAGGGTAAATAAAATAGGTAATGGCATATAAGTTGAACATGAATTTAATTGAAGTCCATACAAAGAGAGGTAATCCGGGGCCAAGCTACTTTTTAAAAAGAAGTTTTATGTTTTTGTGTTTTGTGTGTGTATGTTTGATTGAGATTTAATAAAACCTTGGGAGAAAGCGAGAAGAATAATTGTAAACAAGGCAGAGGGAAATATGAATATGATGAGTATAAAATAGATAAATATTGAAGAAATGTAATTGAATAAAGAGAAATAATGAGAAATCTGATTTAAGTGGAAATGGGATATATTAGAAGTATATTGTATAAAACAGTGTTTTATCTGCCTTGTAAGAATTTGTGATGGAAAGAGGTTTAATGTTTTTAATGTCTAATGATGCTTTGTTTGTCTTTCAAATTAATAAAATTTGTTTCAAAAAAAAGAAAAGAAAGAAAATCTTTTGATAACTACCATTAGACGACACCTGCATCGGGGGTTTTATTCTCACCTTTTCTGTTTTAATTCAGCAAATGGAAAAAACAGAGATAGAATATCAGTTGTACAAAAGGAAGCCGCAGTCTCTCTTAACCCAAGATGAATGTTATGTTTGAATTATTTTAAATTCACACAGAGTTGTGCTGCAACACAGGTCAATTTTTCTAGCAGGGAACAGATCTTTAACTAGGAGAAAATGGACTAAATTGAGAAGAACGTGGCACTAAATTATAGGCTACCCTTCGTTGTATTTTTCTGGCTTGAGGAAATTCCTCAAAGAGATTTCTACAGTGACAGATGCACTTGAGAGATCTGAGTTACAGCTAGAAGAACTGAAAGAACCTGAAAGCCAAGAATTTTCTAATAACTATTTCTGAAGTTATTGCATTTACAAACATTGAACTCTTCAGAATGCACTTGATAGAGATTTAACATAACTTTAAGGACCCTTCACTACTTGTATTAACATTAGTTATAAATAGCTTTTTTTTTTTACTTTTCTAGGCCAATATCAATGTATCTTATTCTGGAAAGTACCTCCACTCCCCCAATTTGTTATAAGCGATCAGGCCTAAAGGCTTTGAAACACAACAATCCCAGGACAGGAGCTTAAGATAAAGGTAAATACTGGTAGTCCTCAATTTACAACAACTGAATTTTGATATCACATGACCATGGGGATGCTGCAAAGGACGTTAACAATGAAAAACAGTCGTAGGTCGCTTTTTTCAATGCTGCTGTAGCTTTGAACAGTCACTACATAAACTGTTGTAAGTTGAGGATGCCCTGTATCAAGAAATCAGGAGAGGCTTGGGAGCCCCTTTCCCAAGCAGCCCATCTTATTAAAAGGCAGAAGTTTGATAAGCTGCAGCTCCCTTCATCATTTCCAAAGGGCAGCTGACGGATAACCAAATATTGTCTTATACGCTCAATGCCTCTAACAAAGGCAGCTGCAGCTCACCAAACTTCTGCCTTTCAACAGGTGGATAAAAATTGATTATCAGATTTTTTAAAATTTAAATTGGATTTTTTTGATTTTTATTGAATTTATTTTAATAAAATGCTTCTGGAGTAAAAAAAATCTATCTAAAGATAGTTTTCTATTTGTGATACATTAATTATACATTAGCTTATTCATCATGAAATGGAGCTTAGTTAGATAGCACGAGGCTGTATATTCTACAATATTTACATTCAATGAATCCTCATTCAATGAATCCAAGCTCTGCAAGCTAAATAGAAACCTTCATTTGATTTGCAAAGGATAACATTAAAGATTCTAACTGCCAGCGAGACTGAGTCCTCACATTGAAAGCACCCCTGTCGTTTCAGATCCATCATGGCAGCACCTGTTAGTGGGCATCCACTCACCTGCTGCCTGCCATGTCCCTCACCTTGTTATGTCACTGCCACATCACCAGCTGTCCCATTAAAGGCAATGGGACTGTCGGCGAGTCAACAGCGGGTCAGAGGAGGACAGTCGCTCTTTAAAAATTATGATTTAAATCAAGTTGATTTAAATCAAAACCACCCTGACAAGAAGAATCACAAGATATATTATTTTTAGTTTTCACACAGAAAAAAAACAAGTCTACCCCCAGTTCTCCCTTATGGCAATACACCAAAACCTAGTTAAAGAAGGGTGCCATCTGATGTTGCTACATCACTGAAACAAGGCTGCTGCTCAAAAATACTGATCAAATCTTAGGTAACATCCAAACCTACAGCCTTTGAAAGTCATAAAATACTTGGGGATATACGGACTACTTCCTTCCTCTTAGCAAATACGTTCATAAATAAATACAGTAATAACAATAACCTCCAGCCTGACTCACCTGAAGCAATCTCCGCTCGCCTCCTATGCAAATATTTCCAAGAAAAACAAAAAAAGCAACGGGAACGCCTGTATCTTCTCTCAGCTCTGTTGAAAATGTCCACGCGCAACCAGCCACAAGGAATCCAGGAAGCCTTCATGCCCACAGTAGCCAAACACACAAGTGGAGAAAGAGAAGATCTCTATTTCAACAAACTTTTTTTTTTCATTCAATTACATCATGCAGGATGCCCCCAAAGGACAACATCACAATCTGCTCGCATTTAACAGATCAGCTTTGCCAGCTCCAAGCTCTCTTTGGTGACGTCAAAGGGTGCAATTCGAATGCAAAAAAAGGCAATACTGTAAGCAAATGATAGTGCCGACTTTCATGACATCTAGTACTTCCTTCCCACAGAAAAAATATTCTCTAAACTTAGATATGGGAGATGCTTTTTTAAAAAAAACAAAAAAAATATTTAAATGCCTTGTCTCTGCAATTGAAACTCCCAATGTGAAATCTCTACATCCATGTTACTATTATTTGACTTTTTGGTACATTAATTATTGCAAGCCACTTATTTGAGATGGGCAAGTATAGAAACTGAATAAATCAATTATAGCCCTTCAGGAAATGAGTCTTAAAGCCATTTTCTATGCAAGCCTACTATATGTATTTGTAAATAAATTCAAGTTGTTCATTAGAGCTTAGTTTTTAAAAACAAATAAGAGGAGATAAGCGGCATTATCCTTTAAATGTAATCTTTACATTAGCAATAATTAATGTATAGTAATGTGATTACTTATATACCAGCAGCAAAACATTGTATTAAGTGAACCCTAGAAGCAAGCCAACTAACTTTTAGAATAAGATAAGACTGGAAAAATCTTAGATGGCACGCAAGGGTCTAAAATTCTTATTCTGAAAGTATATTGTGCTGAAATATTTAAGCACCACCTGACTGGGTAGTTTACAATAAAAGGGGTGGGGAACCAATGGTTTACATAAACAGCAACAGGATTTTTAAAGTGAATCTTAGAAATTCAAATATCCTTCTACTCTGTCATAAATTGTACTACATTCTAAAAAAAGCTAATATGTTTATTTGCAAAACTATTCTAAATGTTAACCTGGAAAATTAAGCAGTAAGGAGAGAATGCCCATAAACTGCTTCCCACATATGGAACCAAAACAAACGAAGGGCTATCCTGGATCAAGTCTGAGAACCGAAGTCTATGCACAGCCATCCCTCAAGACAAATAGTCACAGTTTCAAACTCAAAGCTGCATCTCGAGGCAATGAGCAAGTCCATCATCCCCTGTGAGACAACCCAGAGTCCTAGAAGCTTAGAAAAGTGATTTTTACCTGCTCTCCAGGCATGATGTGGTCAATATTTAGGCTTGTGGGTGATGGAATGAAATGTTTGCTTGCTTGAAGAGTAAGATATAGATCAAAACTATAAGCCTTATAGTCTCGATCTATATATATATATCAAGGGTCTCCAACCTTGGCCACTTGTGGACTTCAACTCCCAGTTTTACTCTTCAAACCAGCAAACATTTCATTCCATCAGTATAAGGTATTTTGCCACATTATATATTATTACCTTCTGCCTAGCATTTCCATTCCCGCCCCCACATACACACACACAAAACAGAGGTGCAGGGCTTGTTCTTTTTGTTCGGATCCAGCGACTGTTGTGACCCACCGACTGTCACAGGGACGGATCCACCGACTGGTCCCTTGAGGCTGACCCTCGGCAGCCCGGCCCGAAGTCGCCCAAGGGCTTTGGGGCCATAACTCGCCTCCTCCTCCTCCTCCTCCTCTCAGGCAAAATGAATGGAAGAGGAAGGTTACAAAATCGTTCCCCACCCAGGCGCTGCGTTTCCCAACCTTCCCTCCTCCCACATCCCGAGGTCAACAACCGGTTCGAAGCCCAGATCAGATTTACAGATTAGCAGAGCTTGGAAGGGACCTTGTAGGTCATCTAGTCCAACCCCCTGCCCCGCCCAAGCAGGAGACCCAGCACCTTCTTCTTCTTCTTTTTCTTCAGCGTTTGTCTCGCGCTCTGGCGAGGTCCGCTAATGTCCTTGAGTACTGCTTCCACGCCTCTCTGTCTGCCACGTATGTCGGGTCTGCCTTCGCGATCTCTAGGTCGGCCTTGATCGTGTCCATCCAGCATTGCTTAGGTCTACCACGCGGTCTCGCTCCTCCGACAATCACCTTCATCGCAGATTTGATGATGGATTCTTCCTTGGCGCGACTCACATGGCCGAACCATGTCAGGAGACCCAGCACCATTTCTGACGAATGCGACCCCCGACCTTTCCCTGCCCCTCCCCTCCCCGACGCCCTTTCCCACGGCGGCCTTACCCCAGGAGAGCCGCCTCGCGCCCCCCCGGGCCCTTCCCGGCGGAGGAGCCCCACCACCCCCGCTCAGGGCCAGTGGGCGGCTCCTTTCTGCCCGGAGACTCCAGGCCGATCGACGACGGCCTCCAAACGCCCCGCTCCACCGCCCGCGGGCTCCTCCCGGTCTCGACTCTGGATTCCGCGCCTGCCGGGTCCCCCACCCCGCCCGGTCGGTCGGTCCCCCCGCTCACCGGAAGGGGCCACAGCCGCCGCTCTTCTTCCCGGACGGCGTACGTTTCTTTCCCCTCTGAGCCGGAAGTGAGTGAGGCCTGCACACCGGAAGCGCTTTTCGGCCCTCTTGCGCCGCCACGAAGGTTCCGGCGCGAGGGATCCGTCCGCGAGGCAGCGGCCTTTCCTGATCCGTCTCGCGCCTCGCCCTCCCTCCCGGACTACGGCTCCCAGAGTTCCCCGCGGCGAGCACGGCTTGGCGATGGCGGCGCCCGGCCCTGAGGCGAGCGACTGTGACAGCGAGGAAGAAGCGGCGGCCTGGCAGCGCCTGCGGGAGGCGGCCTGGGATCCGGCGCTCGGTCGAGCGGCCGCCCTGGATCCAGTCGGTAGGGCTTCCTGGCCTGCGAGGGTCCAGTCGGCCGGGCCTGCTCTGCGGCCTCCGGGAAGGCGCCCCGATCCATCCGGCGCCCCGCTTGCCAAGGGAGCTCTGTGGCCGCGCCGGCCCTGGGCGTCCCCTACAGGCAGTCGAGCCTTTCCGGCGTCTTAGGACCTGCGGGATGAGTCTCCGCGGCGGCGGGGCTTGCTCTCAGGCGGGCGCCGGGGAGACGAAGCGCTTCGGTTGCTGCCAGGATGGATGTAGGGCAGGGGTCCCCAACCTTGGACCCCTTTAAGCCTGGTAGACTTCAACTCCCAGGATTCCTCAGCCAGCTTTGCTCTAACTCCACCGGCTTTGCTGGCTGAGGAATCCTGGGAGTTGAAGTCCACAAGTGCCAAGGTTGGGGACCCCTGATCAAGGGAGGGGGTTTTTTGGGGGGGAGGGGGGTGTATGTGCGTCACAAAATATACCTGTGTTTTTATATACATACACAACACACAAACATATACAGACAATCCTGGACTTACAACAGTTCATTTAGTGACAATTTGAAGTTAAAACGCCACTGAAAAAGGAGAGATTCAACCTAGAAATAAGGAGGAATTTTCTGACAGTGAAAACAATCAACAATGGAACAGAAGTTGCCCTCGGAAGTTGTGGGAGCTTCATCACTGGAGGCTTTCAAGAAGAGACTGGGCTGCTCTCTGTCAGAAAGTGGAAGTGGAGGTTGGACTAGATGACCTCTGAGGTCTCTTCCAACTCTATAAAGGAGATTTATGACCATTTTTCACATTTATGACCGTTGTAGCATCCTTATGCTCAGGATTCACATCCTTGGCAACTGGTTCGTATTTATGACGGTTGCCACATCCTGGGCTAATGGAATCCGCCTTTTGTGACCTTCTGAAAAGCAAAGTCAATGGGGAAGCCAGATTCACTTAATGACCGTATTACTAACTGAACAACTGTTGTGGTTCACTTAACAACTGTGACAAGAAAAGACAAAGTGGGACACAACTCATTTTAATGGTCTTGCTGTCAAATTTTGGGAAATTTTGGGCTCCGTCATCGTAAATCATATTATATGTAATATAACACATAATATATGTGTTATGCATAATATATATGTGCTACAAATACAGTCACGTAAGAAGGAGGATTCAAAACCCATCACCTCCCTGTGACGGAGTTTGTGCAACACACTCCGGGAGGTACTTTCCATCACTCAGCTCAATTTGCCCTTGGAGGTTAGTGCTGCTTTATAAGGCCTTGGAATTTTTGGTCACCCCAATATAAAAAAGATGCTGAGACCTGGAAAGAGTGCAGAGAAGGGCAACAAAGAGGATTGGAGGCTAAAAAATAAGAACCATTGCAGTCTAGTGAAATAGCACTAGCAATAGCCCTCAAGACTTATATACAACTTCAGAGCCCTCTCTATGCAGTTTACAGAGTCGGCCTGTTGCCCCCAGCAATCTATGTCCTCATTTTACCCACCTCAGAAGGATGGAAGGCTGAGTCAACCTTGAGCCAGTGAGAAGTGAATTGCCAAACTGCAGGCAGCTGGCAGTCAGCAGAAGTAGCCTGCATACTGCACTCTAACCACTGAGCCACCATTGCTGTAGGGATGACATGATAGCAGTTCTCCAATATTTGAGGGGCTGCCACAAAGAAGCGGGGGGGTGTCAAGCTATTTTCCAAAGCACCTAAAGGCAGGACAAGAAGCAATAAACAGAAACTAATCAAGGAGAGAAGCAACCTGGAATTAAGGAGAAATTTCCTAACAGTGAGGACAATTAATCAGTGGAACAGAAGTTGCTTTCAGAAGTTGTGGGTGCTCCATCACTGGAGGTGCTTTAAAAGGAGGGATCCTTGCTTTGGTGCTTCTAATCATCTGCTTATATTGAATGACAACAGGGGAGTTAACCACCTTTGCCTCTTCTGAAGACTTTGTCCTAGAGATGACCCATGTCTATGGAACGGTCTGAGGCTGTCAACTCTGCTCCTGTTCTGATAGCCAGACACCACCAGACAAGTGGGGGAGCATTGGAAAATGGGCAGAAATTGGTAGTGGTGGTGCATATCCCTCTATGGCCGGGACCTGTTTTGCAGCAATTCTGATCCTTTATAGACAGATTGACACAGTTGGAAGGGGCCCATGTGGGTTGCTGATGTTTTTAGATATTTATGCTCTATCTGGTTAAAAGAAAAACCTGGGGCAGGAAGCAACACTTTTCCTTAGGCTGACTGGGAGAACTGAGAAAATGGCTGGCATGCAAAAAAAACACCATCCAGCCGTCCCTTATTATGTGCTGACACTTCATAAAAGTAGATCAACTGGTGGCATGAGGAGAGCTGGGTCACGTGAGCAGATCTTTGTGCAACAGGTCTAATGCAAGCAAACGTAGCTTCAGAGGGATTAAAGAAACGGGAGTGGTGGGGTTTGTTATGATATGGGTTGCCTCCCAAATGCGGGAAAAATTCCTTTGCAGAGCTTGTTTCGACATCACTGTCGAGGAAGCCTCGTCCAGCACCCCCAGATCTCACCTGTCTTCGTGTTGTATCACCTGACAATTAAGGCTTCAAGAAAAGACCTTAAGGAAAAAGAATTCAGCATTAAAATGTGGAGAGAAATTGGGGCCTGAGTTCTCTTCTCCCGACTAAACGTGTTAAAAGCCACCAACCTGCTCGTCCCTCCCACTAGGCAAATGTCTCTCCTAAAATGCAGTACAAGGAGTCCTCACTTGCTGGCTGCAATTGGGGACAGTCCGTTGCTAAATGATGTGGTTGTAAAGCAACGTCAAATGACTGTGCCAACATACAACATCAGTTCCAGCTGTGGTTGTAAAGTGAATTGTCTGCAGTCATTAAGCAAGACACTTTGTGACTTCCAGCCAGCTTTCCATGGTCTTTGCTTGTCAGAAGCAGCAGCAGAAGTTGCAGTTGTGGTCGTAGGACTGCATGGATGCTGTGAGAATCTCAATTGCAAGAACCGATTGTAACTCATCTTTTTCAGGGCTGTCGTAAAATCAGATGGTTGCTAAATGGGTAGTCAGTAAGCAAGGACTACCTGTATAGCATCCGGGACTGGAATCCATATACCAGGTGCCCCATTTTATGAGTTTTCTGGCCATAAGAAAGTAGCAAGAAGTGAATCATTGAAGTTGTTAAATTAGCAACGCAGTTGTGAAGTTAAGAATCCGCTTTCCCCATTGGCTTTCCTTGTTGGAAGGTCGCAAAAGGGGATCATAATTCAGTAGTGAAGCACCTGGGGATGCAGTGGTCATAGTTGTGAAAAGTGGTCATAAGTCACTTTCTTCAGTGCTGTTGTAATTTTGAATGGTTACTGAATGAACTGTTGTAAGTCGAGGACTGTATTTGCCTTTCTTGCTTCACTATCACACTGTTGGCTTCTATTCAACTTGTCCATCGAGACATCCAGATGCCTTTCACATGTCTGGCTCATGCATCCTGTTATTTTTTTTATTTATTATATATATATATATATATACACACACACACACACACACATACATACACATATACACACATACATCACACACACACACGTGTATATATATATATATATACATATACACATACATACATACATATATATATAGTGTGTGTGTGTGCGTGTATTTACTTTTTTCTTACTTAGATTAGGAGCTTGCTTTTGTCTCTGTTTACATCCATGCTGCTGGGTTTTGCTCAAGGTAGCTCTGCTGTCTGCTATCTGTACACTGATCACCATTTCCCTAGTTCCTTGTCAAAGCCATTTATCAAACAGAACCTGCCATCCCCCCACCCCTTGATGCTCCCCTCCAGCTCAGCACAGAGCCATTGAGCATTCTCTGCTTACAGTGGTTCAACCAGCTCTGCATCTACTCAGGGGTAGCATTGTCTGGTCTCTGTTTTACTGACTTCTTCTCTACTTGGCTCATGAGAGAGGCTTTATCATGCTTTGATGAATAGCAATGGCACTTATATGCCTCTTCACAATCCTTTCCAGCCCTCTCTAAGCGGTTTACAGAGTCTTGCTCCCAACAACAATCTGGGTCCTCATTTTACCTACCTCAGAAGGATGGAAGGCTGAGTCAACCTGGAGCCAGTGAGAATCGAACTGCTGGCAGCCAGCAGTGAGCAAAAATAGCCTGCTGTGCTGCATTCTAACCACTGTGCCACCACAGCTCTTAAGACTTTGATACCAGCCCTCAGTAATTTAAAGCCCTCTCTAAGCAGTTTACAGAGTCAGCTTATGGCCACCAACAACCTGGGTCCTCATTTTACTGACCTTGGATGGAAGGCTGAGTCAACCTTGAGTCAGTAGACGTAGCCTGCAGTACTGCACTCTAACCACTGCGCCACTGAAACTCAAACAGAAGGTGTGCGCTGCATTCCCGTAGTCAGTTAAACTGGTCTTTCTGCCGAATTCTCTATGGATCACTAGAGCTCTTTCTGCCATCAGTTTTCTATATTTCTAGATTCCTTAGTCGCAACTGTTGTGAGTTCATGTTGAAGTCTTTTTTTAATTTGGATTTTTGTTTTCAGAGAATTCGAGGAAAAGGAACCAGCAAGCAGGTGGATCCAGCATCAGGTAATTAAGCTGTCCCCAACTGCATCTACTAGACCTAATTCTGAGTCTTAAACAGGGGTACCTCTTCCCTCCATTGCAAGTCACAGCTTCCTTCCACAAGCAAGAGAAACAAATGTTTGTGGGTGAGAAACACTGAAGAGTGTAGGCTGAAATCCTTGACTCCCGACATGCTAGCTTCCCAAAGGCAAGAGTCAAAAGGTTCAGGCAGCACTCAGGAGGAGGCGGTTTCTTCACTGAATTGGGGATTGTTTCCTGCAAGTCACATTTAGACTTTAGAGATCTACTACAGTGAAAGCAGACGAATCCCAAATCACATAGGGTAGGGCAGTGGTGGCTAACCTGTTTGGGCTCCTGTGGCAAAAATTGTGTACGCGCTTACGCGCTTGCGCTTGCGTGCCAGCACCTAGAAGGCAATGCACGCTCCCCCACTCCCCCTACACATGCGCGTGCAATCCCCACCCCACTCCATTGCTGCCCCCTTACCTGCACTACACCTCACAGCTGATTTTCGGCCGGTTTGAGGCCTTTTTCAGCCTCCCAGAGGCTTCAGGAAGGCTACTGCAGGCTTTGCAGGCTGAAAACTAGGCCCATTTCATCACTTCCGGTATTTCCAGAAAAACAGGAAGTGACAAAACGGGCTTAGTTTTCGGCCTGCAGAAGCCTTCCTGAAGCCTCTGGGAGGCCGAAAAAGGCCTCAAACGAGCCAAAAATCAGCTGTGAGGCGCATGCGCAGTGAGGTAAGTTTTCCTGCAGCTCTTGTGCCAGCACAAATGGCTCTGTGTGCCACCTTTGGCACGCGTGCCATAGTTTGCCATCACGGGGGTAGGGTGTTTCTTTTCCCACAGCTTTCCAGGGACATCCACGGAAGAGCACGGACTTCAGCTCCCAGCATCCCAGCCATCAAAATCATTTCAGAGAGTGCTGGAAACCATAGTTCATACAAATTATCTGTCCTGGGTGACATGAAGTGCAATTGCCAGATTCTCTCAGGGATCCCCAAATCCATCCCAGTGATTCTGTGCAAAGTGAACTGCCCGAATGGATAATCAAATTGATAATCGGTCAAAGTCTTCTAGAGATTACTCCTGTGGCAAAGGGAATCCTAGAAAATAACTGAACGTTAATTCTCCTGAAACAGAGAGAAAATCTGCAATCATGAGCAGGATGGAAATGAACTGCAAACCACACCAGAATTTCGAGCACACGTTGCAAAGAAACTGGACACGATCTTGGACAAGTAGGCACAAACATTTTATTCACATTTTCCTCTTGGGTATGGCCTTGTGGGAGCTTTTCCTAGAGAATTCTGAATAGCAGTAGCAATACATTGAGACATTTACTGCTTCACGGGGCCTTGCGACCCTCTCTAAGCAGTTTACAGCCTTTTGCCCCCAACAATGTGGGCCCTAATTTTACTGACCTCAGAAAGACGGAAGGCTGACTCAACCTTGAGTTGGTCAGGATCAAACTCCAGATGGTAGGCAGAGTCAGCCTGCAATCCTGCATTCTAACCACTTCACTATCATGGTTTCTGAATAGTACATTTTACATTCCCACCCTGAGGATCTTATCGATATACTGCAGATACCTCTTAGTTGGCAATATGCAGGTATCAGTGTTGTTGGCTTGCAAAGCAGTTTCTAGAGTAGAGATCCCGATTTGCACAGAATTGCGTGAACATCCCTGGCATAAAAAAAACTCCATGATGTGCTTCTAACCCAAATGTGCCAACCTGCTTGGTATGGCCCTTGGCAGGGAATGCTTCATGTTGCATGGACACAACCAAGGCTGGTAGTCCAACTTCTTTCCAATCAACATGCTCCTTGAAAATCTCGGTGAGCAGCAGAAGTCAATATATAAACGCTATATATATAAAACGTACCATTATATGAATGTTTAAAATAAATAACTAAACATCTGTGGAGAGTGGCTTTTGGGGGATGATGACTTGGCCCATGAGAGAGAGCGGCAGAGTCCCTGAAGTAACAACTGAAAGAAAAGAAATACAAGTACTCCTCATTTTAGTAACTGCCTTGTTTAGTGACTGTTCACAGTTATGATGGTGACGAAACAGTAACTTTCCATCCAATCCTTGCATCTACACCTTTGGAGGTCACAGGAAAGCTGAAGTGAAATTATCAGCCCAGTGGCAGTTCCTCTTAGTGGCTGTTTTGTTTAATGACTGAGTTGAGGGTCCCCATTGTGGTCACTACACAATGATTCCCTCTAGATATAACAGAGGTCTATGAAGCCCAGAGAATATAACAAGATAGGATCAATCTGAAAGGAAGTGATGGCCTTGTGGACTGGAGGGGATGACATGAAGGTAGAAACGTGACAGGAGGGCTAAAAATACAGGTCAGAAAGCAGGCATGGGTGTTATCTAGCTTTGCTGGCTGAGGAATTCCGGGAGTTGACGTCCACAAGTCTTAAAGAGGCCAAGGTTGGAGACCCCTGATCCAGTTGTGATGGTTGCAGGTGAAAGGACCCAAAGGCTGGAGGTATTTGCATGTTACACACCTCAGTGATGGGATAACGGAAGAACCAGAGATGAATCTGTGGGCAAAATGTGCAACAGTCTGAACCAATGTCATCAAGGGGAAAGTTTTTTCTATGCCATCCCTGTCCCTGTCCAGCGACTCTGGGCAGTTAAAACATTCCCATTAAGTAGCCTGAATGGATGTGTTGAAACAAGAGGAGAGGTGATTAACTTTCCTTCTTTGAAGCTAACCAAATAACAACTGATTTCAAAATAACCGTCCTGTCTTGGTGAAAAGATCCATTACTTCCCACACCAGCCACGCAGTCCTAGATTTCTCTGTGCCTTTCTCTCGGTGTGGGAGGAGGGGAAAGCCCCTGACTCTCGGGATGCCCCTGACTTTGCTCTTTGCCTCTTTCCACCTGCATTCCAGGCTCCCCTGAAGTCATTTGGACAGAATCGGTTCTGCTGGTCTGGCTCCATATCTCTGGTTTATGGGGCCCGGGTTTTGGGCCTTCTGGGAACTTAGGCCAGCTAGGAGTGTTAATGGTCAACAAGCACTCGGCTGCAGATTTAGCCTGTGGTTTTTTTCAGGCAGAAAGCTCACTGCTGGCCTCCTTTGGCACCACGCTCAGGGGCAGCCCTGGCTTCCTCTCTTCCTCCGTTGCGCTGATCCCGCTTTTCCTTTCAGTGTGATAACCCTCTCGACGTGCCCACTGCGACTCCCGCGACAGGAGAACAGCGCCTTCCTGGAAGAAGACAACGGTGAGCCGCTTGCTTGGGGGAAATCCCTCGCGGTAACTGTGTCCTGTTCCTTTAGCCTGCTGTGCCTGGAGTTCCAGAGCAGGGAAGCTGTGCTGGCTGGGGAATTCTGGGAGTTGAAGTCCCCCGGGTCATACAGGTGCCAAGGTTGGACACCCCTGCTCTAGGCGGATGCTTGAGCCGCATGGGATTGACAGGGGGGAAGGGGAAGGGGTTTACTTCTTTCCAAGGGTCTGTCTTTCGGCACCGGACATTGATGCTTGCAGTGTGAGCTGTAGGAGGCTCAGCTCCCCTAAGCCTTTTCTCCCTCCTTTCAGGCAGCAGCTTTTAATTCTAGAAACGGGCCCAGCCTGAGCCACTAACTCACACAGCACCTTCCCTCTTGTTTCCTCCTGAAACGGCACAGGATTCCGCCTCTTCGCCTCCTCTGTCCTGGGAGACTGTGGGGAGCCAGAAGCTGCCCCTCCGAAACGGTCGGCATTGCAGCATTCCAGCTCCAGGTAAGGAATGGGAATGGGAGGGGATCTCTGCCATGAAAGGGGGCAACAGACGAAGACTTCTGGCTTGCCAGTGAGCCTTGGTCAGGCTGTGAGGCTGGTTCTGGGCTCTG